GAAATGCCTGCTCCGCTTCCGAAGATGGAGTGAAAAACAAAAACAAGCGAAAAAAAAATTCCAGAAAGAAATAAGCCAAGAAAATCGAAATGTGATGGCGTTCTCGAAATGAAATGAAATGAGCTGTAGCTAAAAAGTTTCCCGTACTTTTATTTATTATATGCTTGTCGCTTTTTCTATTTGCTGATGGTGCCACCGCCTCCAAAACACAAACGACATGAATAAATTGTACGAATGCGGGCAAGCGAAGAAAAATTAAAAGTTGCTATTCTAATCGGTGGTGTTTTGGTTGTTTCAACTCGATGCTCATTGCTCATCTTTGTTTGTGTTCAAATGAGAAAAATGCGACCGAAATGACGGAAGAAACAGGAGGACAAAAAACACAACACAACACATCCCACCGCAACCATATTGTGAAACGGGGATGAAGGAAATGCGCGCGAGCGAGAGTTCAAAGTGGTAAGGAAAAAAAAGACTCGGCTATAAAAAGAAGGAAAACGATGTGCAAAGAAGGATGAAGAAGGCAAAAAGTGAAAAAGAGAAAACTTTAACCAAAAACTCTTTTCAACATTAAAACTTCCGATCGAAAAGTTGTTTAGTTGTTTGCCAAACACAGGAAAAAGGCGACCAAATGGAATCAGTGAAAAACTCCATTTCTAAAACAAGAACCAAAGTACTTTTCGAACAAATGTCGAAAGAAAGCGCGCGAGTGACAGAAATAGCAGCAGCAAAAAACGAAGAAGAAAAGTGTAAAGAGGGAAGTGAATAAAAACAAAACTAAATAACACATATAAAATGCTTTCTAAAAGCTTTCCACGGGTTTATGCTTTTCAGGCCAAATCGGTCTTGGTGTTGGTGGAAGGAAGTGCGGGCGCACACGATAATCTAAGTGATAAGCGATTGGAGGAGGGAAAAAGAGAGCCTGAGACGACGAGAAGCAAGAAATGGATTCAAATTCAGCATAACGATGTCGTTGCAAATGCCCAACTTGAAGGAACAAATTAAAAGAATTTACCGTTCCGTTCGCTCATGTCACATCCATTCTGCGTTTTTTTTTCTCTGCATCTCGTCTCCATTTGGATGGTACGTTCACTGAAAAAAATAGCAAAATGTGACGGTATTTCCGCGAATGAAAAATGGAGAAAAAATTATGAAAATTGCCATCCAGCACCGAATTAGCGTGTGCCACCCGCGTTTGCCATTCGACAACACCTTTAACCACTAACACACAGCGAATGCGAGAGATGGAAAACGTACAGGATGTCGACGTGTGACAATTAGATTTAATTTTATCCACCTCTACCCATGTATTGCTGCCGTTGCTGCTGCCGTCGAAGCCATTTTCATTTCGAATTCCATAGTAATCATCTTTATCGGGAAAATGGTGTCAATATGCAATTTGCGACAATGTTTTAATATCCATCGGCAGCGCGTACTATGCAGATTTGGCTGTGCTCAGGCGGAGCTGCGTGTTTTCATTGCAATCGATGCTCTTCTGCCGCCACTGCCGCGCTTGATACCATTCCAGTTGCTGTTGCTCTTTCTCATGACCCAACGGCAAAATAATAAAAAACAAGAGGCGAAATGAAATTGCATTTACATTCACTAACAGTGTCATATCATTACGCCAATGCCAATATCCATTACCATCACCATTACTTTTACATAATTTAAAACATGCACGTTTCTTGTCTTGCACACTGTTTGTTCGTTATCACCGCCGCCGTTGTCGCCGCCGTTATCACGACGAGTGTGGGCGCACTCGATTCTCGCTCTCGGCGTTGCTGGCTCCTGTTCGACAGAACGCACAGACAAAGCTGTTAATGTTTGTCGCGCGAAAATTTCATCAAAAATAAATTGCATATTATAAAGAGCATATTCATACACAACGGGATACAAAGGATGACATTTTCAAGTGCATAACATTTTTGAAATGAAAGAGAGATAACGCTCGTTCGCGCGTGCAATGCAATGATGGCGCAAAGTGGCAACGGCCTGAATATTGCATGAATTGACACTGTGTGTATGTGTGATACACAAACGCCAAAACAAATTAAAACTGAGTGAAACTGAAGAAAAATGTGCCCTCGAAATCCTGTGAAAGAAGTGGAAGAGAGATAGAGAAAGAAAAAACGCCAGCAAACTCGGCAGAGTTGAAACTACAAAGGGAAATGTTAATTAGGATAACGAGAGAGAATGAGTCGAGCAAAAACTATACGCACACGTAGGGATTGTCGAGCATTCTCGCTCAAAGTGACTCGTTTAACCGAACGAGTATTTTTGGCCGAAATACAGCAGCAACAGCAGCAACGACAGCAGCACATATCAAGCCCGGCCACAGCCAAGCATCATCGTCATTTCGTTAAAAGCTCTTTTAATGCTATTAAACAAAGTTCTTTTTGCGTTCACTCACTCGTTCTCTCCCTTTCTCCACACACATACACATCCTGCCCTGTTAATGCTCTGAAACTTATACTACTCTTATGGTTATGGTGTGTATCATGTTGGTTTGTGCCACTAGCTATTATCCATGTGCTGAACGCTGTATTCTCTCTCTCTCGCCTTTTTTCTTCTGCTGCTCGTTTTTTGTAGTAAAAATTGACACATAAACGCATTAGACTAGGCTAATTGTATATAAATGCGGTTGTAAATACAAAGTTTCATATCGTTTACCCCTCTTTTGTAATGCTATCTCTTGAATTTGACGGCTATCTGTCTCTTTCGTACCGGATCGCAACGCAGCGTTATCATCGTTACTCACGAATGCTCCGCCCATTTTAACGTTCGACTCGCAATCTCTGTCGCATACACATTTTCACACATAACTTGTTTTGTCTTCGTTCCGCATAAAATGGCGCAATAGATTCGCTGCTAGTGCTTCTCCTTCCCTCGAATTGAGCTAGATGTGCTGCTAGATAATCAAATAGTTTATTGATTTTTATCATAAAAACCATAAAATTAGTAGCACACATAGAAAGAACAAATAGTTTTATTCAGCTATTCGTTTGATGATGAGGTGATGTTTCGTGTTAAAAACGGATTTTTGCCAACATGCAACGCAGCACAAAAAAAAAATGTAATTTCTGATGATGCGCATCAATATCATTAATTCCTAAAATTCTATAGGTTGATGCTCATTTATCAGAAGAAGAAAAAAACGGCACGATGACGTGATAGATGATAACACGTAACGTAGAACCAACGACAGTATAACATTCAAATGGAAATATATTGTATGTACATACAAATCTCGTAACCAAACGGCGTATGATTGGTTATATACAAAGAGAGAATACGTGTGTTGTATGTGCGAGCGTTGTTGTTGTTGTTTTTCTCTTCTCTGCTCTTCTTTTCTCTCACTCTTGCTGCCGTCGTCGTTGTTTGGGAAGATTTTTGCCAAAGAGGTGGAGTTATGCTTGGTTTGTTTGCTTGCGTGTTAATCACACTATTTATGCTTTCTCTCTGTGTTTGATTCCCTTCTCTTGTGCATCTATCGAAGCTGGTCCGTTGTGATCTGAGTGTGTGTGTGTGTGTGCTCGCGTTCGTGATACCCGCCAAATGTGTATGTAATGATCTGGTTTCTCTATCAATAGAGCTCGAAAATAGTCGCTTAGTATATGTGATGCTGCTGGTTGAAGCGACAGCAGCAACGACCACAACACTCGATATATTCGCTTGGGTTAAATACATCGACTTGCTCATTTTCCACTGGACGAATGACGGGAGAAAAAAGATGACCATTTTTCAATCTTAACGCATTTCGACGTGAAAACGCATTTTCTTCTCGTTTTTTTCTCTCTCGAGTAACACGATAACTCTTTTCTAATGGAGCATTTGTTCGATTTATTTACTGAAAATTTATTGATTCAGTTATGTAACCAAGTCGAGGCGGGTATTCTGTCTATTCTCTCAACATGAAATATGGCTATGGGCAAATCCAGTTACCGATCTCTCTCTATCTCAAATAAATCGTTCATAAAAGCAAAGCCCAAATAAATAGCTATGCTTTTGTGCAATTTTTTTTCGTTGTTGTTATGCCATGATCCGTACATAGCGCAAAAAAAAAGAACGATGCGATAATCGTCCTTACAAAGACACCCTTTTTTATCAGCTAATGCCCTTTTTGCGCCGCATTGATCAGGCCATGGAGAAAGAAAGAAAAGGAAAATAAAACGGGCAGATTATGTATATAAAAATTCTCTTGAACATTGTGTGTATGTACTCGGTTGGAATTCAATCGAAATGCTCCACGCAAGATTTGATCCGAACCAATACCAGAATTAATTCAATGACTTCGCTTGTAAGTGTTTATCGCGTGCGAATGCAAAAAAACCAATACATTCAGAGAGTAGCAGCGAAAAGAAGCAGATAAATGAAATGAACAGAAAGAAAGCAAGGAAAAAAAACAACAACCACACATCGAACAGTACGAATGGAAGTAAGAAGAAAAAAATTAGCAATGAAGAAAAAACAACAACACACAACAGACGGTGAGTAGACATGCATCGGCGGCGGTGGCGGTGTATGTGTCTGTAAGAGTGTGTAATGTGATCGAGAGCTCAAACTATTTACCATTTGTTACTTTATTATTGTTATTTCACGTATTTATAGGAAAATTAATAAAAAGGTAGGTTTTGGCATCGGTGTCTCGCGCACGCTTGTCTGTGTGTATACCTAGCTATCGTCGTCGTCGTTGTGGTTGTTGTTGTTTCCGTTGCTTTTTTTCTCCTCGTTTTGCCATTAAGTGTATTTCATTTCAGCCGTTTTTCCTCGTTCGAAATACATATGATGATTATTTATTGTGTGCGAGCAAGCGAGCGAATGGAGTTGACGCGCGCGACGACGACAACGACTACGATGGCTGTGTATACAATTCAATCGACGATCTGAATGTGTGTATGGCTTTCTGTGTGCCCTGCTTCGACACTGGTGGTGCTGTTCATGCACAGCAGTACATTACAAACGGCGTTAACACAATATCAAGAGCATTTTGCCAGTTTAGTATTCGTTTGACTTCGATTTGGGACGCTTGGTGTGTTCTGTGTGTGTTTTGCGTTCGGAACAATTTTTCTCTCTCTAGAAAACATAAGGAAAAAAAACAAACGTTGTCGTCGTCGTCACGAACTCGCATTTCTTTCTCACTCTGTCGAGAAAAAAAAATCGGCGGGCCCAGTTAGATGTCGCTTATGTACACACAGAGCCGAAGATTCAGTGCTAACGCGTGGTAACGTCACACTCTTCCGTAACTCTCGCATCAAGAGAGAATCGAACGAGCGAACGAACGAACGAGAACAGAGAACAGATTAGAAACCATTACGACGCTTCTGTATGAGTGACGGCTGCCAAACCAACAATATCTATCTCGCCCATCACTCGCCACTCATCTTCAAATCAAATACATTTTGTGTGTTTTTGGATGGTGGTGTTTTATTTTTGTCTCTCTGTGAGTGTATATTGGCTTTTTCTCGGTGTACTCCCGAATTAAATACATACAAAGAAAAAAGAACAGTTCGGCTTATTTTTCAAAGTTCAAGTGATTAGTAAATTATTGTTTTCGCATTTCGTCAGTATGTTACATAGCACTTAACACGACAGACTCTCAGCTGTGTGTTGCGCATAGTGATATCGAGCATCGATTTTTCGGGACTTTTTCATGTGCTTTTCAACTAGTGATTTCGATTATTCAATATCTGATCAGAGTTTTTGGCAAACCGACGGTACAATTGATGCTGACTTTTTGATGACATTTCGACGAAACCTGAAGAAACGAAGATATTTTCACACAAATTTTCGAAGACATTTGGGGAATATTTTGAACATTTTAATAACTTCAAAATTTTGAAAAAATAAAACAAATATTTTTCAATAATCTTCATTGGAAATTTCAAGAAAGATTTTTCTGGACACTTCCGAATTGTAAAAATTTGAGAAAAAAAAACGATTCTCATCATTTTTTTTTGGCCAATTTACCTGCGTCAAATAGAATAACTGACTTTTTAACGTTGAGCTAAATCGATCCGGAAAATAAGAATCGCTCGACTGCCCGACACATAAACATCAAAAGTGATTATAAATTTCTTCATCGACGATTGGTGGCGGGCCGCATTTGTTCAAACAACAAATAAATGCATTTCATACACACTGGCTGTTTGTTGGTTACTTAACAGTTTGTTAACATAGAGAGCAGAAGCAGCAAAATTCACCTGAACAATAAACATCTAATTACCGAATACAGTCAACTGAAACCGCGTGTGTGCGCTCGCTCGCGTTATCAATGCGGTTGAAACGAAAAACACACTGATTCAATTGCAAACGAAATTGACTTAAAAAGAGAGAGAGACAGAGAGAGAGAGGCGAAGCAACGAATAGGCAGCAGACGAAAAAAAAAGTAAAAGTTTTCTATTCTTTATCAAAAATGGTGTGTTTAGGTGCATTTCAAAGTGATTATTAGTTTATGTTACACACATTTTGCACACGTCGATTATGCAATCCGGTCTCTAATACGCTGCAAAAACCCACCCGTAAACAGAGAAATTAGAAGAAAAGCAGAGTAGAGAAAAAAAAAGTAAAGTGAATGTTTTACACACTGGCTGATTTTCGTTTCGTTGTTCAACGTTAGCAACGTGTGTGCGCAAAATTGATCGTTTAAATATTGAAAAACCAAACACTTGCGAATCAAAAGAAAGTATAACGATTTGGAATGAAGAAAGAATGAACGAATCAGAAAAAAAATATCTGTAACAACACAAACGCGGTGTGCAGTGAACAAAAAATATAAACCATAAGCCCAGCGAGTGCAGTTCGAAAACAATGAAAACAATTGAATGAATGCTGGTGTTAATTGCATTAATTAACTTATTTTTGCGTTAGTTGCGAACGGCGGACGTTTGAATGCAACTACGGTGTGTGTGTATTCATGTGCTCTACTCTTTATAAGATATTAAATTGTGTTTATAGACTATTTATTACGCATTCGTGCGTTGATTGAGGAACTAAAATTCGATTTTTACCTGTTCCAAACGAAGACATTTTAATTTCACTGATGCACTGCTTTTTATTTCAATTCCATACACACATTGTTCCACTGACGTAATCATTTTGCGAACGAATAAACGCATTTAATGAATGGCATGATAAGGAAATGATACGAGTTTATTATGCCAGTGTTTTAATTTTGAATTTGTTGCTGTTGCTTTCGTTCGTTAGTTCACCACACAAATAGGTGTAATTGATTCCGATTTTCTTCGAAAGCAATCGCAAAAATAGAACAATTTTTCGTGTGAATTTGGAAGTGTGAATTATTGTGTTTGACCACAGAGCAACGTGAAAAATCCAACTCAAATAGACATACGAAGACGAACGATATCCAAGTGTTCTTTCGCCGGGGTGTATTTTATCGGTCAAAATCGTACTCCAGTGGCATTTGACGGGCGAAAGCCCAAAATCATCAACGATTTCGAGCACCGCTGATTTTTTATCACCGAACGGTGTTGCAGCAGCTGCCAGTGGCTTGACGATGACAGTTCCAATGCAAAGAGGATCAATGGCCGTGCTACCATCACGATCACGTTTTATGATCACCGACATTTTGGGCGGTGGTGGTGCAGCCAATGTTGGCGCCGCACTACACTTGCGAGAACGCGTTGAAAACGGCGGACGCTCACCATCACCGGAAAATCCACGGGATTTAAGCGCATCGGCCGCCAACAATAACAATAATCATTTGCATCATTTGCATCACAATCTCGCTCTAAACCATCACCATTTGAGCCAGCACAATCATTTGCATCGACACGATGAAGACAGCGACTCGAGCGGACCACTTGATGATGATAACAGTGTCTGCAGCAATGGTAAGTGTTTCCAATGCTTTTCATGCTGGCTTCCTTTGACTGAAATTTTAAAGATGAAAACAGCTGGTTTTCGCACAACTTCGCTAAAATGAAAAAAAGTAAAAGAATAAGAAATGCCGTGACGCAAAAGCTGCAACACACGGAAAATCGTCGCCGAAATGTCAGGCCCAATGGCTCAATCTGTTTTTGTGAATAGAATTCGTTTTTTTTTCTCTTTTGTTGAAATATTTATGCATTTAATAGTTTTTCATTTCGTATTCAAACATATTTCGCTTTGTGTGTGCGTGCATGCGTGCGCGTGAGCGCGTTTACATTGTTTGACGCGACAAATCGGCCGACCCTTTTTCCACACGTCTCTTTCTCTCACTCTCTCGTTCTCGTTTTCGTTCTCGTTCTTGTTCTTGTTCTCGTTCATATGCATTACTCGTTCACCGTGTCTTCAAATCGAAAATATTAGAGTTTTTCCATTGCTATTGTATTTCAGTGCGCATTTAAAAAGAAATAAGAAAAGAACCAACTTTAAGTCCAATCACAATTTTGATAAGTCAAAGACATTAATCGCTTAATCGGATTATATTTAAACCGAATTTGGTGTGACTGCATCATAAAATATTGTGGACGAAAATTCAAATGTTTAAAAAGCGACTAAATTAAATCTTAATCAAAATTATTGTTACGACATGAAGAAGGCCCAGACAAAGTCTTGTGAGCCAGAGAACAAAAAAAGAGGAAAGAACAAAGAAACGATATGTTTGGTATGGAAAATAGAGAAGAAAGAAAAGAGCCAACAGACGATTGCGATTGAGTTGAAGGAACAGAAAAGAACGATGATGATGGCAACCAGTTTGTATGTGACAACATAATATTTCGTCGCTTTTTTTTCATTTGCTCTTTCAATTTAGATTGTTTTTCCCTCCAAAAAGCAAACGTCCAATGTTGTTTCCTTTGTGAATTGTAATTGTTGTACCTTTCGATGACTCTATCGGCTGAACGAGAGAGAAAGAGACAGAGACAGATAAAGAAAAGGAATTTGTCATCACAATTTAGCAGCGCTCCATTTAAAAAAATTTGTTGGAACGATTAACAAACGAGGCAATCTGCTTTGGTTTTATTCATTTCATCTTAATCTTTGCAGCAATGTGAAACCGTTTGGCTCAGGCCAAGCGATTGATGTGAATCCTCTGTGCCTCGGATGTACGCTTCAATCGACATCAAAATATTTCATTTCGATTCTCTCACCTGGAAACGTCTGCCTTCGTCTTTGATTTCATACGAATAAATGGATCAAATTGAAATAATAATCATTTCTTGGTTTGTTTGTTTAGTTGATTGACCAGATCGCATGACATTTCGTGAACGATTTACTTTTGTTTCAACGTTGTCAACGTAGGATTGAAATAATCTGATGATTTCTAATCCCAAAAATTTCGTTAACGTATTAGAAATAAACGTGAAACATTTTTGTGGTTTGGGCTACTGTTCATAAATCAAAAGTCGACTTTGTGATTAAAGAGTCAGTGAATATTTTCTATCGTCTTATCACAATGCGCATTTACCTGTCAATTACAATGTAATAATTGAAAGCATTCCACAAAATGGGGGAGACGTCGTCGTTGTCGCCTTCGGTTCAGTCTCTATGAGAATAAAGATTGAATTGTTTTTAATTCAAGTGATTTTGATTCGGTCAAACAAGGCAGTGCCCAATTTTCTTACGACGAAAAGCCAATTAAAGTTATTTATTGTCAGTAACGAATACGCTTACCAAAAAGGTTCTATGCGATAAGTGGCTTTTTATTTAGTTTTTCCCCCCAACGCGCTCTGTTCGCCACACAATGAAAATGCTTAGGCACACGATTTACGTATAAAACAAACAATCAAAAGCGCATAATAACAATAATTTTTTCGACAAAAAGTGTTCATGTGAACATCGCATAAATCATCAAACCGGTATGGAATCGTCTTAGACACACACACACAACGACTCTCCATCGGTCTCATGCAAACCGATCAATTATCCAATAATAAATTCATGATCGATTTTGAGTCGTTAAAAGAAAATGATATATTTATTTTGGAAATCATTTCGTTTACTTGAAATTGGAAATTGGCCGTTGAACGATGGTCACCATTCCGCAAACACCGTAGCAATTTCACTGTATTGCATGAAGGTTGTCGCGTCAATTTTCCTAATCGATTCTAAACCAATATATGCGGGTTCAACTCATGAATTTACCAAACGAAATGGGATTTTCCTCGTTTTCTGCCAATTTTCATTGGGAAATCACGCATTGGCATTTTCCGTCGATGAATTTAAATGACTTGAAGAATGCACGAGAAAAATTACATATGCAAATAGTCTTTGCCATCACGCGGTACAATTAACTTCGATGTCGATTGATTGACGAACTCCGATTTAATCGGCATAAAATATTCAGGCCGACAGCGATTTAAGTAGTGGCTAAAATGTACAAACGGAATGTGATGGCTGGTGTTGTGGTTCGCTCTTTTTTCTCTCTTCTTATTTGGAAATTGTAAACGGAAGCTACTGAATTTTTCATTTACATTTTGTAATTTCAGCCATTTATCCCTCCGGTTCGGAGGCGAATAGACACGAGCTACTGCTAGTCAAGAAATCACGCAAACGGAATTTAGAGCAACAAACTTAGCATTCCGTATTTTATCTTCAAATTGATATTTTCTTTTCTTTCTATTGTTGTTCTAACGTGCCTTACTGGCATAAATTCCACTTTGGCCGCGTGCATGTGTGACGCACGGTCGCAAAATGCGAAGGAAAAGAGCAATTCGTTTTGTAAAATGGAACTGGGCAATTGTTGTTGTTGGGCGAGCATAAGACAATTAACAGCCACTTTTGTGTACATAAGTTTTGTGCGCAAATGTTTATTCGATTTAAGGAATCTACGTATTTTTAATCTCATTTGCAAAGCGAATTTACTTACTCATTTTTGTCATTGTCTTCGTTGTTGTTGTTGTTGTTGTTTTTGTTTTTCTGTTTCGCCAAAGTATATTTCCTGTTCATTTTTGTTGTCTAAAAGTGTCTTAAATTACATTGGGTGGCTTTGTTAAATTTTGTCATTTGTAACAATTTTCACTATTTTGTAGAATGAAATCGCTTCCGATTCATTCGCAGCAAAGATTCGCTTCGTTTCAAAAATGTGCAACATTTCATATTTCGTTTAGTTTCAACGACCCAACATTTTTAACTCGTCTAAAAAACAATTTGCAACATCCCTTTGGCAAAATGCAAAATTTTACAAAACGATACACGCAATGGGAAAACAACACTAGATTGCCTGCACTTAAATGCGTCCCATAAAATATTCACAATTAAATTAAATTATTTAAAATGTTTCATCGGCATTGTTGTGTGGCCGGCAGAAGGAGCAAAGCGGCGACATTATTGTATGAGTATTTCCTGTGTATTTCGGGCTAAAATTACTTTCTCTCTCGTTCTCTCCGTTTTTCTCCTCTCTGACTCTCTTTTCTCTCTACCCAACTTGTTCTTTCTCACTATTAGCCCATACTGTTGTGTTGGCCTCACATAAAAACAAACCGTAAAAACCTTATTTTGTGCCCATTTTACTTTAAAAAAAAAACTAATAATTTCTTCGTTTTTTGCATAAACATAACAACGCTAATCGCGTATGTACACAGCGAATACAGGTGGCAAGAACGGGGTGCTAAACTCCACGGCGCTTTCTTTCGTCATGTTATACTATTTACATGAATGTTTTTAAATGTTGTGAGAAAAAAAACATACACACACACACATGGGGCGCTTGCACTCAAGAGAAAACGAAAGAAACACACACAACAGAGTCGAAAACAAAAATTACTGAATTAATGGTTAAACTGCCCCGTTGACCACATTTTGTTTGACCATTTATTAACATTATCATAAGTATATCGCAACGAGACTCTGAGTCGCATTAATTCCATTTCATGCGATATACCCACTCTCTCTCTCTCTCTCTCTCTCTCTCTCTCTCTCTCTTTGTGTTCTCGGCTGTGTGTTTTTTAACGACTTTCGTCCGGCTGAACGTTGTAATGTGAATTAATTTTCGGCGTATGTTTTAGGCTTAGACTACGATATATCCTAAACTATCCTCGACACAACCGACCGATCACATTTTTTCGATCTCAAGCCCGAATTTCGTAGTTGGCTATATGTGCATTTAAATGTTTTATTTTCTATTTATTTTCAACCGGTTTGTTCCCAATTTCCAAACGATTTAATTACCGCGTTTGTAATGCGTTCGGGCGGGTTCACATTTAAATATTTCAATTTTTTTCCTGCCTAAATTGCGAAACAAACGTCCACCAAAACGTTTGTGAGCTAAATTCCTTTTCATCCAAATTTTGATTGTGATTTTGAACGACATAAAATTTATTACGGACGTGATTTGGTCAATTGCCTGCGAACGAACAAAATACAGCGAACCCCAAAAAAGAAAGCAAACGCCAAAACCAACCAAAGAGAGCGGCCCACAGAGAGTGTGAGAGAGAGAGAGCAGAAAAAAATGACTGTTCCGTTCGAGAAGCAATTATGTGCGGCTAATTATGACAAAATATTTGAATTTCATTAACACCGTGTTATGACTTAAGCATTGTGTTTGCGCCCCGCACATCTGAATCAACTTAAGCGCGAACATTTGGCTGAATTCATTTCTTGGTTTCTTCCTTTCGTTTTTTTTTGCACGCGCTCATTCTTGCCCCGCTCCTCGTACGCAACCAAATCAAAATCGCCTCAGATTTTTTTTTCTCTTCTTGTTTTTTCGCGTTTTCACGTCGAATGCGTGTGCACAATTAATTGCTCAAAATGGTTGCGTTTTCGTTTCGTTCGTTTTTATTATTCTTTGCGGACGAAATGTGTGTGCGTTTTTCTCTCTCTTCGCTAATTTTTCTTTCAATTTGTACAAATGTAAATGACAAATAAAAGAAACCCAAAGTGCTTGAAGGGCATCGAAAGACCTTTAAGTATG